GCCTCCTTAGCTTTTATGGTCTCCGAGAGCTGCCTCAGGAGCCCCGAATCTAGTTCTTCCCCTTGGTGTGGGGGTCTGTAGCAGACCCCTACCATCAAATCCCTTTCTCCTTGCCCCCCATGTAACCTAACCCACAAACCTTCTACTTCCTCATCCTTCGATTCCGTCTTGATGAGGGTCGATGTATATTGCTCATTGACATAGAGCGCAACCCCTCCCCCTTTCTTCCCCACCCTGTCCTTTCTGTACAGCCTATAACCTTCAATATGTACCGCCCAGTTGTGGGACGAATCCCACCAGGTTTCTGTTAGCCCTACTAAGTCATAGGTTTTTTCTGCAAGCAGGAGTGCTAGTTCATCCTGCTTGTTCCCCATGCTCCTAGCATTAGTATATGTCAGCCAACTCCCTCAGCACCCTTGGGTACCTCCCATCCAGCCCCATGGACTTATATATGTCCAGCTTTTTAAAATAGTTCCTAACCTGTTCTTTCACCACTGTTGGCTGTTCATCTCTTCCCCAAAGGCATACGGCCCCAAATCAATTCTGCCCAGGCTTCTGGGCTAATCAGATACTCAAGTGGATAAAAATGAACTTAATGCATCCCCCATTCCTGGGTTAGTTGGTTTATGTCAGTCCCTGAAGGATCCAATCAAATAATTAAATAAGTAATCAAAGTAAATGAAATCAATGCCTCCCAGGTTCCTAGGTTAATCAATTCAGGTCAGTCCCTTTAAGAATAATTCAACTCGTCAAAAACAAAATGAAAAGCCCTTCCTTTGGGTTCCTACCTTGCCCTGGCTCCTCAGGATCAGGGCTGCTCAGACATTCCAAGAGGGGAGCTCTCCTTCTGGCCACTTTCCCCAGCACTATAGGAAGGGAACACGATTAAAAAAAAAAAAAAAGAGGAAAAAAAAATTTCCTTGGCTGTGAAATGGGTATAGCATTATTTACCCACATGGAAAAGATCTGTGGGGTGGAAGTGCCAATATTTATTGGCTTTTATTACAATATCCTTCCCTGGGTGTTGTAATTTTATTTATTATTAATTCCTAAGGTGATATTTTTTCCACAGGGAGACCAAACACAACAATTACTACTACGTCCAAACTAAAAAAAAAAAAATCTTATTAAGAATTCAGAGATTTTATGAATATCTTTTAGCAATATATTTCCTCCTGCCAGCAGATTTTTGTTGAATTACTTCAAACCCCCCCCCCCCAAACAACCCCCTAAATCAAACCAAACAAAAAACAGAACAAAGCAAAGCAAAATCTAAAACCAATTTAAGGGGAAAAAATCTGTGCTAGTAAAAGAGGTGAAATAGAAAATCTGCTACAAAATACTGTCTTCTGGAAACGGAAATCTTCTGTCTCCCTACAGAGCAGTTACAAAAGGGCAAGCTTCCTTCACACTACTCTGCCAATGTTTCTAAAATTTAGAATCTCACCATGTTGAGAGACTTCTAGATGCTCACTTACAAAGCATCTCTCCTTTCTGTGAGCAAACCCTAAGGACTGAAAATCCCCAGTAATAAACTGTCTCTTCATATATTTTGTCAGATTTGGCGCTCAAACTACCAGCAGGGGTGAAGGACAGAGGAAGGACAATATCACAAAGTACATCTATGAGGTGAATTATCTTCATGCCCCTCTGCAGGATGGCATGCAATCAAGTTGACCTTGACATACATGAGCTTAAGGGAATACTTACATAAATGAGCACAGCTAACATCATGGAGAATAGAATTAGACAGGCAGACCACAAAGGCCTGAGTGAACTTGAACCCTCCTCTCATAGCAATATTTATAATGTCTCTCTCTAGAATGAGAGGAGTTGGCAGGCATCTGTACTCATAATAAGACAGAATTCAAAGACTCATCTTTGCACCCCATTACTTTAGCAGTTTTGTTATGTGTGCTGTTTATCACTCCTATGTGTATTACACATTAAAGGCTGAATGGAAATAAGCACAGCTTAGTGGGCATGGAGGTAGAGTTGTCAGAGGAAGGAAGACCAGGGCAAACCAATGAGGCTTCCCCTGGGATATTAGTGCACCTAAGATCAACACTGTTTGCTCTTACAAGAAGTGCCAAGGGATCTTAAGTGATCATGCAGTCAGGACGCTAATTTTTACTTCCCATCTGAAAAATGCATGGGATTAGTACAAGTGAACCAGATATCAGTGATGCCCTTTCTGCCCCTTCTGCATGTAGGTGGGCAGGGAAAAGATTGCTGTAAACTTTTACCATCCCCATATTCTGGTGAAGTGCAAGCGCCTACCCAGCCCACAGTGTAAGTTAGAATAGGCTCTGAGACAGTTTGTCTCATGCTCAGCTTCCTGTGGCCACCAAATGATTCTGGAATCAACAAACAGTTATTTGACAATACACTCTGGCCTTGCCTCTGACATGTTATTTCACCTGCTACTCTGGGGCCTGAGCCAGTGTAACAGTCCTTCCAGCAAGATACCAGCTGCCGGGGGGATGGGGGCGGTCCAGGGTTCCCACACTGGGAGTATTTCTAGAAAATTATTTGCACCCCCTGGAAGGCCCTATTATGATACTAGAGTGGCTTCAAGTGCTCTTAATATAAGATAGAATAGGGACAGATAAACTAGCAACATAACCTGTTCAAAGTCAAGCTGATTTGTCTGTGTTATGAGGTGCCTGACATTGTATTACACAAAGAACATTTCAGAGGAGCGGGGTGTTTGTACATGTGATGCTATTACCATGTACACGTGACAAAAATGTCACTGTGTGTGGCTTAATGGTGCCACACTGTACGCATGCAAGTGTTTTGGGGGTTTTAAAGATGAGTGATAGCTTTTAAAGGTAGCTCATCCCAGTGTAGTTTAGTTTGCAACAGTGCAGCTCCTGCAGCTGGTAGGACGCTTGGGGCCTTCAGGGAACAGGCTGGCTTGTCCCTGGGGCAGTGCAGGAAGGTGGCAGAAGGGCAGCTGGGTTTGCTGGCAGCTGGAGAAAGCGGCAGAGACAGTGCATGGGATGCTGAAAGCCTGGGTGGCACCCAATCCAACACTTCCCAGAGCCTGCCTGGGCTTCCAGCGCCCTGTGCACCATCCCTGCTGCCTTTTCAACTTCCAGCAAAACCAGCTGCCCTCCTGCTGCCTCCCGGCGCTGCCCCAGGGACAAGCCAGCCAGTTCCCGGGCGGCCCCAGGCATCCTGCTGGCTATAGGAGCCTGCTGAAGACAGAAGCAGCAAGGGGCCCAATCCTTTTTTTTGTTTATTTTTTTTGGCAGAGCCTTCTGGCCTCTCCCACAGCAAGGGCGGGGAGTGGGGCCATGGGGCTCACCCCAGGAAAAAGACTCATCATGCATTAGTTACTCCACATTTACAGTGGGGTTAGACTGTTGTTGCCTCTCTATAGCTCCATTGATGTAACTTCATTAGCACCTCCCTACACTTGATGTAATGCAATGATGAATCAGACAGCTGGTTTCTCTTCCTAACCTCCGCCTTTTGACATGTGATATTGGTCAAGCTCCAAGCCTTCTTGGTAATTTTGTTTATTCAACCGTAAAACAAGAGTAATAATAATGTTTTCCTACTTTCTGAGGAGATTGTAACGTTCATTTAATTAATGTTTGCAGAAGCACTTTGAGATCCTTAGATAAATTATACTGTACAACTGTGATCTGAGTCATTGTTTCTTTAATTACAAACTGGAAGGAAAATGAAAAGAAGAAAGCAGATTGCATTAGATGTTATGTCAGTATAATTCATAAATGGATAAATGCTGGTATTTGTTTGGCTTGGCAATATTTACAGTGTTCTGGGGCAAATCAAACAAAACGGAAAACGGCAGGTGAATATGCTTGAAAAGAGACAGAAGAAATAAGACTTTCAGCTCTTTCAATTCTTTTTTCACATCATTTTCTTCCTAGAATTGCTACTATATATATAGTAGCAATAGTAGTGCAATAAAGCAATAGTAGTGCACTTAGCATTACTTATGCTCTAAGTAATGCTAAGTGCACTAAAATTATCCAAAGGACTGAAGAACTAATTGCCTGGAGGAGAAACAAAATAACATTACATAGAGGTCTCTGCAGCTTGCTGTTGCTAAAGAATAAAAAGCAAAAATTCTACTGTTGGATCTGCATCCAGTAAATGCTGTTTTGTTCTACTTTTCTTCCAGACAGTAAATTCTGTTTATTTTTTCCTTTCTGTAAAGGTTAACAACAGAATATCCAGGACACTATGGGGAAGATGTGGACATGATGCTGTATGCTTATGATCATTACATCCGAGGGGCCACTACAACTTTCTCTGCTGTAGACAGGTTTGCCTCTTGCTTTGTTCTGTTGTCGGAAGGGGCAGAAAAAAATGGACATTCCCTTCTTGCAGCAACCAACTATACATATCTAGAATAAAACATTTGCTGTACTGGATTTAACTATTGCTTCATCAGCTGTGGCAGCTAACTGGTATGGCTCAAGGACTAATATCTGGTTCTTCAGATACAAGACCAAAGCCCATAATGAACTCTTTTAATATGTCTTTAGTTATGGGTCTTGGGTAGAAAGCTCACTTGGAATATGAGCTTCAATCAAATTAAGTGGTGTTTGAATCTAACCTTTTTTTTTGGTTCTAGACCTTTATAAAAGTAGGTAGCCCTTTAACAATCCAGTCTGAGTAAACTGTCATGCAGAAGGACAAAGGGCTTTATTGTAGCTAACCTTTCAAAAGGCAGGTACATAGCCAGCAGTGTGTAGAGTGCTTGGTGTTTTCCTCAGGGAACACAGGACTGCCAGGAGAGGCATAACAGGGCAGCGCTGTGCCCTGGGCACCTTTGGCAGCTTTCTCCCCAAAAGGTGAGGCCCAGGGCTAATGCCCTGCTACTGACTGCCAGAGTGGTTGTGGTATGCTTAGTGTCCCTCCTACTTAGGTACAGGCTCAGCCTATGTACACCAGCAGCTGTTGCTCTGTTATCACGCAGTTTTACTTAACAAATGAGGAATCATTACCCGTGTGGATTCCTGACCCCAATGATACAAACCTCCTAAACCACTTTATTGTAGGTTGGGCAGACCTCTGTGTGGCAGGGCACTTGGGGTGCCTGCCACTTCAAGGGGTCAGGAAATCTGCAAAGCTGCTGGCAGGTGTGGGCCAAGGCTAATTGAGTCAGCTGACTCAGAGAGCCAGCAGGTAAGGCTAAGCTGGGTAGAGGAAGTCACCTGACTCCAGGAGGGCTGGGCTTAGAGCACATATAAACCAGCAGTAACATTTTAGAGCCTGCTGAGAGCTTACCATCTCAGCAGAATGGCTGCAGCTCTAGTAGGTCAACTTGAAGAGTAATACCTAAAGCAGTCTGGAGGTTTGGAAAGGAACTAAAGGGAGGAGGAGGTTCCTTGGGACCCAGAGAGGGGTCTAGAGCCCAGACTGAGGGGCTGAGAGTATGGGACCAGAGAGGGTCCAGAAGCCTTGTAAGAGGCTGAGAGTGTAGGACCAGTGTGAGGGTCCAAGAACCCCAGAGGAGGGGCTAAGTGAAGAAAACAGCAGTGAGGATGCCATCTGTGAGGCATAGGGCATTGTGTAGGGGAGGAATGAAGCCATGGAATTAGCCTGTAAGGCAGAGGCCACTGGCACCTGCTAGTCATTTGAAGACAATTTGGGAAGCCCTGGAGCAGCCTCTTTCATATCAAAGTAAGACATCAAGGCATGGCAGGAAACTGAAGGGGTGATTGCCTAAAAAGTGAGGGCTGTACAAACTCCAGGGGCTTCACAGCCACCCCTGAAAGGACTCCCTGCTACACTCTGTCTCCAACATGCAGAGGCTGAAGTTGTTCTGGTGTCAAGTACACTAATGTAGTGAAGATTGTATTTGGCTACCTTTGGCAGAATTTACCTACTCACAGGGAAAGTTTTTTTTCAAAGTTTAAACATGGAGTGCACACAAGCAAAGTGCAGTTTCATCATCACATTGTTGCAGTTACTTAAAACTGGATTGCACCAAACACCAGTGAATGTACTGTAATATGGAACAAGATAGTAAACTAGTGTAGCAATAACCTACAATTTCCTGAATGGGAAGCTGGGTTTCAGGCAGGAGGAGTCATGCAGAAAGATGAAGCTATTAGTTTTCTGGATGATTAGTAAGACAGGATCCTTGATTATGCGTTAGGCTAAAAAAGGGGAAGATTTCAAATGGGGAACTTTACCTATATGATTCTCCTGAGTCTCCTGCCTTTTACATGGCCAAACTTGCAGAGCATCAGTGGTGTTACACTGCTGTATAACTGTGGGTACAAAGGTGTAGCATTAGGCCCTGTATTGCTAAGTCTGCTGGGGGAAAGACAGGCACAGAGAATTCAGGTTACTGGAATACACCTGTTCCTTTATAAGAAGTAAGAGTTAATTGCTTTACCTATTTCAGGCCTGACCATTATCTATCATTAGCATTTGTTATTGCTGCATAAGTAGGGTCCTGTGTATAATGTGATCATGCAGTCATGCCAATGGATGTGTAATTGCTCTGTTTTTGAAGTTTCTTCCTCATTATGTTCCAAAATTTTTACTGCAAAAAAGAAAAAGAATAGAAAGCAAATTAGTAAACTCAAACATGAATCAAATGGAAATCAATGCAGCACTACTTGCCTGAATCTGCAGATGGCCTAAAACAGGGGGGTCTGAGAAGACTGAGATGCTCAGATTAAACTGTGTGGAGAGCTGAATGTGAAATTTAATAATGACATTGCACACGTCACAGCAGTTAGCTGTTGCACTGCTATTCAGTTTGTCCGAGATGTCAGGTTAACTGGTGAAGCCATCATTACTGATGTAGATAGTGAGTTTGGGTGCACCAACTCAGCTAGCTCCTTCCAAGAATGGCTTGGTGAAGAGTCAAATACCCACCCCAAGAATGGCTTGGTGAAGAGTCAAATCCCCCTCCCATCCACTCAAGGGTAAAGCTGACTGCATCCCTGACTCAGAGGGAGGAAAGGAGAAGTGTATTGGTCACTGTGACCTGCCCAGTCATCTGCTAGGATCACTAGGGCTTCTCTGGGTTAGGTCATACCCTGTTCACTCCACCTTTCAGCATCCATTTGACATAGGATATGTGCAAGATAGAACAATTGTCTGACCAAGCGAACATGTTTACACAAGACGCTTACCATGCATTAGCTTAATAACACTGCACAGTAGCGTGGCAGTTAAAAACCGTGCTAATAGCCTACTGTACAGTGTTAATAGGCTAATGCACAGTAAGCATCACAAAATAACTGTGTGGTGGTGCTACTGTGCAGTAACTTTAGTTACTGTACATTTAGTTAGTACTTCATTAAGCAAATACTAAACTAAATGTGGGGTGCATCTACACACGTGCATTTACTGCAAAGTAACCAAAACTACTGTGCAATACAGATGCATGTCTACACGTGCACACCCGTACTGCACAGTAAATATGGTGACTTATGCTAACTGGAGCATAAATTTGATACCTGTGTCATGCAAGTATCAAAGTTATGCCCGAGTAGTTACTGTGCAGTAACACATGTAGACACTTTATTGCACAGTAACAGTGTGTGTGTGTGTGTGGACTGATTTAGGATTAACTTTAGTCCCAAGTCAGTCCACACACAGAGTTAATTTACTTAAATGCCTGCAGGTGTAGATGCTGGCCTATACCTGGCTAAGCATAGTAATGTACTGCACAGTAAATTTAAGGTAGTGTAAATGCACGTGTAGACATGCCCACCCAATAACTATGGTATATTGATGAACTTGTAGATGCACCCAGTAAGTGGCAGCTTTTCTGTCCTTATTGTAGACCTGTTGTAGCTGTGAAGGTTCAGGGAATATGCAAGAAACAGGATTTGTGATATGGGATAATAGCATTTATTGGACAAACTCACAGCTGGTGACCAGAGGAAGGGCATTTTATATTCCCTCACCTCACAAAACTTGCTTCTATACATTTGTTGGCAGCCACAGCCTTTGGGCCAAACCCAAAAGATCTTGGAAGAGAAAGAAATGGGCCACAGAAGCCAATGCCAGCTGCACATTTTCTGGTGCACATCTAACTGAAAATTAATAATATTGTATACGTGGTGTTATACATAGTGAACAGTTTCTTAACTTCTGTGAGACTCATCAGGGTAAGCTGCACAAAAGCCTCTAGACAGATCACTGGATGCAAACATGTCAGGTATTTTAGGCCTTTCATTAGGTTTCACCAGACAAAAAAAAAAAAAAGAGGAAATAGATTATTTAGGGATTGAAGAATTTCTCTGATTTCCCTGCAAGGTTAGAAACCCAGACACCACCAGGCATATGAAAACCAGAGAGTGAAAGTAAAAGTCAAGCTGCTCTATCCAAGCTCACAGATGTGTTTATGAGATAAATTAAATAGCTTCAGTGTTGCAAAATATGTCCCTGGTCCTGTGAAGACTTGCATATACATTTACGCTTAACTTTAAACACAATACTTATTCAAATACCTTAAAATGAAGCACATGTCTGTATGCTTAAGTGTTTGCAAGATCAAGACCCTCATTAACATTTCAGGAGTCTTTCCATTTTTAAAAACCTTAATAGATGGTATTACTAATACATGAAAGTAAAACATTATTTTAAATAGGTCTGATTCTTATCTGGCAATGTCCCTTTATGGAAAAAAATGATTAGATCCAAGGGCAAAAGAACCACCTAGGGCAAAGGTGGGGTGGAGGAGAATTATGCTGACTACTGGAGAGCAGGGGAAGGAGGAGTGAGAAAAAGGCAGGGGGGATAGAAGCGTACCTACCTCAGCTCTCCTCATTGGGGCAACAGCTGCTGCTGTAGCAGTGTGGGCTTGGGCTGCTGCAGCTGAGGGACAGGCAGTGTCATGGACTCCTTGGGCCATGTCTAGTGCCCTGTCCATTTCCCCACCCCTGGTCCCAGGGCTATGCCTCACATGGCAGTCTCCTGTTAAGCAGTATTTTTCCATCACCTTCCCCCACCCCCTACAGACACACTATTGGTCATGGGGCCACACCTGCCCAGTTCATAGGCTTTGCAGCACTTTCTGTGGCAAAGACTCCTGGAGACAGGGGGCATACTGGCATGCCCTATAAGCAGGTTGCCAGTGTTGGTGCCCCATTTGCCCCCTGCCTATTGCTATTGATTAGATCTGAGCTTTTGAATGGAAAGCCTCCACCAAAACAGCTGCTAATTTAATGGGCCATAATTTTGAATTGCAAAACCTTATTCAGTCCAGGTTTTCTGTAGTTTTGGAGGCCTGAGAGATAGAAAGGGTAGTAAATGCCTGTGACCTGCTACATGCATCACTGATGATATTAAAATTAAACTAAAAATATGATTTGTACTGCACTGAGCCACTTGCCTGAGCAACTGACAGTCAAATATAGCTAGCCAGGCAATATCTCCACTTTCACCCCATACAGCTTTAAACCTTGCTAAGTAATACGAGGCAGATGCTGTTCCTCATGGTTAGTAAAAAAATGAGTAGCATCTCGAACAGACTGAATGAAGCATACAGAAAATGAAAGTTGAACTGAGAAGGCTTTGGTCAACCTAGACTCCAGGGGTGAAATTCTTCTCTCACTTACACCATTGTAAATCAAGAATAGCTTACTGAAGTCAATGGAGGTGCACAGCAGTATAAGCAAGAGCAAAATATGCCTCAGTTCTGCATAGCAGCACCTACAGACAGGACATACAGCTGCATCATCTATGGGGAGCCTACTGATGGAAGATGACTCTTGTAGAAAAATGTCCCATTTCAGCCCTTCTTGTAATATGACCAGCCCAATAATACAGGTTCAAGGCTGGACAATTACCTGTATTTGAAACTTTTGACATCTTCAACCCCTGTGAAAAACTGCCATTTGGTAATATTTTACAAGTGACCAAGCACCACATGGCTGAAGACACCACTACTTAGAATGACAAGGGTGTTCAGCATCTCTGACTTCCTCATTCTTTCGCCTCTTTGATTAACTTATTAGTGTGTATATCAAATAATGCCCAGTATAGGAGTGTATTTAGTGAGATACTGAGAACTGGGCTGAAACCCATCCATTCATTTCACATTACTTAGTAACACATCACATGGCAATGACCATGGATGAGAACAGGCCTGGCTCTTCTTTAGGTCACTGCTTTGAAGCTGACTCAGGCTTGATCACAGTCAAGTCATCACCTTCTGATGAACTCAAAGTTCTGATGCCCTTGATGTTAAGGAAAGGGCATTGAAACATTGACCTGCCTTTTGTAATAGCAGAGCACATAATACTCAGAGGCCTAGCATGAGGCAGACAGGAAGTATTTTCTTTCTGAAGAACCCTTTTATATAGATGTGGCCTCTAGTGTTTCCCTCGTCTCACTGATGTCTGTTTCTCCTTTTTCTTCCCATGCAGGGATCGCCAGTGGAAGTTCATTGTCTGCCGGATGACAGATTTCAACTGTCAGTTTGAGAATGCTTAGACATAGTGACTCTATCAAACTTGGGGCGGGGGGAGGACGAAAAGGAAAAGGACAATCTTACAGATCTTTTTTTCTCTCTCGGAGCTGTTTAACTTCAATACCAACCCAATGCACCCTTTGGTCTAGTAACATGCTTATAACTGCACTTTTGGAGGATTCTCTTCATTTTCCTTTGTGGCTGCATCTCCCAGTTAAAATGCTTATAATGTGCAACACATTTTATTAACAGCTGCTCTTTCATATCTAGCCACTATGACCTCACACCATTTTATTTTGCATTGCCTAGTATCTCTGTACAAAATGCTTTGTATCCCTGATCACTACCCACATGGTTCAAATGCAAGAAAAGCCATCTAGTGCATACCTCACTAATTTTTCATACCTCTGTGCACACAAATCCCTGTAATTGCTATCAGCATTTATGAGTTTAGGCAGTGCTGCAACAAGACTCTGGCATTCTCTATAATACTGGGGATAAGCCCTGGATACAGCTATCAGTGTAACCTCATTTTTTCCAATGCCAGTGTATATAGGGTAATGACATTATTTGCACAAGAGGAAATTTTACCCCTGATGAGAACCAAAGGAAAAAGCAAATAGTAGCTTCATCCATCTACATTTGGAGACCAATTCTCCTTTCCACTAAGGTCCCTTTATATTCTGATTTGCATCTTGGTGCTTTTGACTGTAATACCAGCTCACTGCACCTTTTGGTATAGTAATATGCCTAGAAGTTTCAGCAGAGCTGCATTAATTGCTGTAATAGTGTTGTTACTGTGATGGTCCAGGGAATATGCAAGAAGAAAGATTTTTTAACTTTATTTCACATGATGCGTTCCTACCCAAAAGCTTGTTTAACATTCCTTGCAACTATGGAGTTGATCCAATAAAAGATATTACCTCACAAGTCTTGCTTCTCTGACAGATGAAATCAGGGCAAATCCCCAGAGTAAAGAAGGCCTCCATTACTCACTAAACACACTGCCTTGGCCATATATTGTTATCAGGAGTCCACTCTTCAGGTGAACTAGGCTATCACCATTGACAACATTCTTGGCTCACATTGGATCGATAAAAAACAGTGACCTTGACTGAACTTAAATTTTTCCAGTTTGGAAGTCTTGTTCCCAGCATGTATGCCTTAAAAAAGTCCATACAGTTGTTAGTACTAAGATGTGATGTCCTTTTGGTGGCTTAGTTTGATGTTTGGAAGTGTTAACCTTCAAACTTACCTTGGACCTTTAATAGTTCAAAATGGCACTCGCACAGCTGCAGTCCAATAAGGAAGACTGATAACCTCCTCAGGTAGGTAATGTTTCATACATTGTGCATTTGCAAGCATTCATGGCTTGATCCTTCACCCAAGAAAGTCAATGGCCCGCTTCCCATTGACATAAGATCAGGCTTATAATGAAAGCATGCATCAAATTAAAATTCTAAGAGCAATTGGTAATTGTCAATTTCCTTCTTCCAAGCATCTCTCCTCGCTTGGATTTCTATTAACATACTATCAAGTGTTATCCTTCATACCACACTGGTGAAATAAATGAATTCAATACATTTTCCAATGCATTAGCCTTGTTTTTTCTTTTTTTTAAACTAATTGTTCACTTTACTCATTAATTTGCTAAAAGCTCAGTCATTTGCAGTGGGTATCACAGCAATTAGTGAGGTTCTGTTTCAGTCAGTTATGGAGACAAAGAAGACCAGAGGGAGGGAGAAATTAGGGGACACAGGAAAGAGAGAAGTTTCTTACTGACATTAACAGAGATGGAGAAGTGAGGAAGTTCCAATAAGCAGGAGCTACAGAGAAGGGCCTTACACCACCAGCAGCAATGGGAGAGGAAATGTAGTTTAAATTCATAGGATTTTTGGTTCTCTGTAGAAACACCTCTTGATAGACACCTGCCACTCTCGATTATGTCCTGCTTATTTTTCGTCTCAGTCTATTTAGACCGTAAACTACATGGGACATAAACTATCTCTGGCTGGCTTCATCTACCCTACAAATTCTCTCTGCATTAGCAGGACCATCTGCTCTGCCAGTACAGCTCCCCCCTACCTCTTCTGAGCTGCACAAAGCTGTCTGAACACATGCTTGAAAGCATGTGCAGACACTCCCAACCGTTCTACTGGCTCCGAGTTCCACAGAGTATCTAGTGCCTTCTCAGGCACACCTCATGCTGTGGTGAAACCACATAGAGCTGACATAAGTCTGGTGGTGTAGTGATGGCAGCAGAAGATCTGGTAACACAGACAATCTAGTATGCACTATGTTTGAGGACTACACCAACCTTGTGCATGTACTAAAGTGGTGCGAAATTTTGGCGGGTGTTTCATTTAAATTTTGGATTCAGACGTTTCGGAGGCTGAAACACCAAATCCGAAATGGAACGCAAGGCTCTGAAACAGCTCCAAAATGAAATGGGGCCATCCCAAACATTTCGAAAATGTTTCAAAATGACTCGGATGTTTCTGAAATGTTTCAGATAGTTTCAGAGCTGTTTTGGAGGTGGGCTTGCAGGGAAAGCGGGGCAGGGGAAGGATGGCTCTGATATGGGAAAGAGAAACTAGGAGGGAGGGGAAGGGTGGAGGGAGGACTGCTCTGATATTGACATCTGTAGCTGGCCAGTGACAGCGATCTGTCCCTGAGGTCCCTTCCAATCGCAGGGCTCTGGGGGAGGGACAGAGAAGCACCATAAAAAGCTGTTTGTGAACTGCTCTCTGCCATTTTGCAGCTGCATCTGCGTTATTCTTCTTATTCCACCTTTCCACCAAGAAAAAGAAAGCAGTGCTTTGCCTGACAGTGTCTCATCACAGTGCACTGCAGGAAAGCACTCAATGCACATACATTTATTACATACACACTCACCCAGATGCCAATTTTCTTCCAGCACATGAAATACAAAATGTGCTGGAAAGGCAGGTACCAGGTGTTCTGGCCAGGGAGAGAGAGGGGGCAGAGGGAGAGCTGTATGTTCCACCCTCCCCAAACTTAGACACAGCCACTTCCCTAGCACTAGCAGGTATGAGGCTTATGGTGCTAGTGGCAGCAAAGAGGTGGGACCAGTGCCTGCATCTGCACTCCCTCCAATAACACCAGCCATAATATTAACCCCAGCATGACAAGCAGCACCAGTATGACAGTCTCCTCCACCCCCATTTCAGTTCCCAGCCTGAACCTTCCAGTGTCAGAGGAGAAGCTGGATCTGGAAGCAGGGGACCCAAGTGCCCTAACAAAAAAAAATTCTGGGGACCAAGGAGGAGTTTGTGTTCCACTCCCCTTCAAGTTCCCCTAGAGCCAGGTCAAAGGAGGTTGACATTGAGGTTGTGGAGGCAAATGGCTCAGCTGAGTCAGCAACTTCTGTTGTTGCTGTGTCTCTGCCTTCTGAGGAGGGGGGAAAGTCAGGCAGGATCTGCACCTGCACCCCAAAGGACAAGGGAGTAGAGTGGTATGGGATCATTTTGAGGTGTCAGATGATCTCAGGTACACTATCTGCTTACACTGCTGAAGTACGATCAGCCAGGGCAAGGAGGAGAAACACTTCAGCACCACAGGGATGCTGATGCATCTCAGGATGGGCCACCCCCTTGTCCTTGCTCTTCCTCAGCCTGGCACCAGTGGGAGTGTGCCCAAAAATAAGTCCCCTTCTCACTCTGAAGCCCCTGTCCCCCCAAAGCAGAGGCAGGTCACTCTGGAACAGTGGGGCAAAGGTGGACAGAAAGGAGGGGCACATTGCAAAGGTGAGCAAGATCACCCAGAGCATCAGGGAGATGCTTGCTCTGGATGGCCAGCCCTTCTCCCTAGTTGAGTGACCAGGGTTTAGGCAGCTCATGGCACTCGTACCCCATTCTACCAAGTGTCCGCATGCACTGCCTTCAGCAAGATGGTGGTGCCTTCCCTGTATGAGGCATACAGGGAGTACTTGAGGGAGGAGCTGCATAAGGCAGGTCTGCAGGTGGCCTTGCACTTCACCTCAGACATCTGGAACAGCCAGGGTGGAGATCATGCCTACCTCTCCCTCACAGAGCACTGGTGCAATCAGTCAGGCCATCAGTAGGCTCTCCTTCAAGCCGAGGTGATGAATGAGTCCCTAATGGCAATGGAGATCATGGAGGCCCACATGCTTGGTGCAGGGGTGGCTCATTGGGCAGGGTGAGCTCACCCACAGGATCATGGTCACTGACAATGGGGTCAACATGATTAAGGTCAACTTTATTGACATCTGCTGTGTGGCACACAAGTTCCATCTTGTATTCAGAGACACCTTGGAGGGGGACAGGGCTGCCAGTGATGGTGCCATCACAACCAGCCAGTTCATTTCAAAATGCAGAAAGGTGGTGGACTACTTCCACAGGAGCAATAAGGAGGGCAAGATACTGTGGGACAAACAGGCAGACAAACAGCACAAAATCATTCAAGATGTGGAGATTCGGTGGAACTCTGCATACCTCATGCTAGAAAGGCTGGTGGAGCAACAGATGACCATCCATGAGATGGCCTTGCTTAGGGAGATTGAGATCAGTGGCCCACTTAAAAAAAAAACAAAAAAACAACAGAGTGGGATACCATCTCCCAGATGTCAGTGGTCCTCAAGCCATTCCTCGAGGCCACTGAGACCATCAGCGCTGGTGATGTCATCTTTAGCCAGGTGATCCCCATAATGAGGGAACTTGGAAGCCAGAAGTTTCAGGTGATCAGTGTTCCTGGCTAGGGCAAGCCACTGTCACCAGATGTGCAGGCACTGGTGAAGCGGCTGGGGGAGGGCATCAAGAAATGTGGTCCAGTACAGTCCACATGCTGGCAGCCATGTGCAACCTGACGGTGAAGGGGAGCATGTGCTCCAGCCAAACCCTGGGTCACTAGATGGAGGTGCTGGTGAACAGAGTCTGGGAGGCAGAAGGGCACAGGCAGGGGGGAACGTGGAAAAGGGGGATCCACTTTCCTGTGCCAGCACTCCCAGCAGCAGCCAGTCTCCTCCATGACAGATGCTGCCCATGCGGGCCAAGGGCATGGCTTTAATGGTGGGGTCCAGAGGCACCAGACCCCAGCATCAGGCAG